CGCCATATCGCCGCAATTTGCATCATAATTTGCACTCCTTCTCTGCATTCGTAAGTCAATCAAATCTGAACACATAGACATGATACACATATTTTTAGATTTCTTTCTGCTGTCCATTGCAAATAAACATCAGAAATCAGAGAAAATAGAGGTTCCTTATAACTTCAGCACTTCACGAACATCACAAATGCCATCAGAATCATCCAAGTTTCAAGGGTTAGTTAATAAGTTATGGTACATTGCAATTTGACATATTTTTAATGGTGCTAGTTTGCCAAAATGTACACAGAAATAAACAAAAAACTGTACACAAAAATAAACAACAAACATTATACTTCCTAAGTCCCCCTATCACGGACACATAAACAGCAGCTCCTGATGTGGTGATGTAAATCCATCCATGTAATGTATTGTATTGCTGAGCTGTATTTTTATTTGCATAAAATCCATAAAATGTCAATTACACATATAAACGTGGTTACAAGACATTTCTAACATGCTGTAGACTGCATTACATTCTCTCCTCCTACAGTATACTGACGTGTATAAACTGCATTCTTCTCAAATACCATAGCCAGTGAGTCACTGCTTTTACATGATCTGTCACTACTCTCCTTGGCAATGAGGACAGGCTTTTTTCCCACTGCCTTTACTGTCTAAAAACAATAGTCACTGTCATCAGTTTGACGCCAATAATAATTAAGCTCCTGTATCAGCAGAAACTGACACAGAAACTGTCTATGTCACAGAAAAATGATACCGCAGCAACTGAACATTACAATTCTCTCCTCTGATGGATTGCTGAACTTTTAAAATAAGACAACAATGTCAACATGAAAATTACTTTAAAACAGCAGTGCATTGAGTCACGAGAAGCTACTGCAACAGCTTCTACCCTCCTTTATATATATATATATATGGGTGAACTTGTATAGTACCTGATCATTTACAGTTAAAAACCCTATCAAGGTGAAAATTCATTATAGAAATATGAGTAACAAATCTGAGGCTACTGTGACGGCCTTAGGGTTGGCCTTATTCTGTTCCTCTTGCTTGGTTGTTTACTCTTTGTTTCAAGAAGTCAGGGGTGGAGCTGAGATTACTCTCTGATGCACTCACCTGAGCAGGCTTGGCTCAGGAGGCTATAAATCAGACCTGCAAGGCTTTCTCAGTCTCTTCCCCTGGCCTGCTGACTGAACTGTTGGTTTTTGTTTGTGTTCTTGGTTTTACATTTATACATATACACCTCACCCTTCACTCACACAGACATGGCAGACATACTGATTTACTGATAGACATATTAAACTGTATTGATTATTTTGGTATTTACTTAATTAAATTGTGTTAACAGTTCACAGACTGTGTGGTCTCCCTCTTTGTCACACTCTCTTGAGCCAGGTTGTGACACTACAAAAACCATTTATGTATTCTAGCAAACCAGCAGACAGACATGCAGGCAGTCTCTGTACTCTCTGTATGGAGGACTTTATCTCCATTCTCCACTGTGATCATATTGGTCTTTTGGGCATAAGTATCTCCTTTGCTGAAGCATAACGGCCAAAACAGCAGTTCCCTGTCAGATTAGGACATCACTGTCAGACGGTCCCAGCTACGCTCTGACAGACCTATTAGCAGGACGCATGTCATTGTGAGGCTTTGCACAGCCGACAGGATGTAAAATCAAGGGGTGTGTCTTGCTGCATTTCTTCTTTAGTAGCAGTACACATGTAGCACCAGTATTTTCTGTGCAGATTATTAGTATTTCTGAAAAGTATTCACACTATTTGGTTGCTTTACACATTGTGAAATCATTGTGGATGCAGACACCAGGATGCCGCACCTGTGGGTGTCATTGTTTGGTTCAAGTGTTAAAGCTTTCATTGGAATTCTTGTTAAATAGGAGACACTAACTGAAAAATTCAAGACAAAGTGCAATGATGGCCTTATAAACTATATATAATCTATATAAACAATAGCTGAAATGTTATTCAGTTGCTAATTATTGGCCGAGTTGCCTTAGAAGCAGTCTGGCTTGGTGGGAGTTTGCTTGTCATTCTGCCTTGGTGGTGGCTGGCCAGTAGCCAAAGGCTGATTCAAAATTTAGAATTACTGTCGGCAATCTTTGATCACTTGGCACAAAAAAGACTTTACTGAACTGTTTCAGAGGCAAATTTTATGTGTCCCTTCATTTTAGCATTTAATCTTTTTCCAGCTCTCCAAAACTTAAATTCCCAGGAGCAACTCTCTAGTGGGCATTAAACTTTCCCATGCTTGTAACAAAAATATAAGTAAATTGCACTCAATTAAACAGAGTGTATGTGGGGTACTGCCTTTATATATATATATATATATATATATATATATATATATATATATATTTGCTATATTTATTTGATGGCAGCCAGATTTATCAAATCCTTATTTGATTTATCATTGACTTTTTAAGAGAGAATAAAATACTTTAAAGATGACTTTATTGGCTGTTTACTGTTGAAAAATTATATACGTTTGTGCTACAATGTAAAGAAACAGATTTTAATAGTGATTCATTTAACTTTAATGAATGGTTCCCACTTATTCAACCATGTGAAGGGACACAAATGGATCCTTGTCTCATAAATCATAGACAAACGCAAGTAAACACTGTTCAAAATTTTATTCCATAATCCATAAAAATGGGTAATTCCTTTTTAGTGAAACCCTTAGTGGGGTAAAACCTATAGCTCTGTCAGCCATCAGTGCGGCAGTGCACACAGCAGCAGGGGACTGTGGTCGAGTGCAGAGGAACCTGGAGTTCCTCCTCGTCACAGTGAGGGGAGACGGTTGCTGTGTGGATTCTGCAATTTCCCCTAACTCCTGCTCTCTGCAGACAGCTGATGTTTATCTGCTCTGCCCATCTGGGCCTTGTGACTAAACATCTGGTAAAGCTGCCACTGTGCATACAGTGTTTCACAGAGTGGTGACAGTGAAGGGGCACTGCTGTCCACCCCTTCCAAAAAGATCTTGAGAGGCAGGGAGGACTTCATCTCTGAGATGTCAAGGCTTATTCTTAAAACCTGACTCAATTACCAGAGTGCTGTCCAGCAGTCCAGACGGTGCACTGTAATTATCCCGATTGTGTCCTTAATAGTTTGTGATCACAATGAAGGATAATCTGATTTGAAATAAGAATCAAATTCCTTGCCTGCAGCTTTTCGCCCTAATTTTCAGGCTTAGATTATGATCTCATTGAAAATTATCGAACAACATTATTACCAATGCCCACAAAGAGAAATGCAGTAGTCTAAGTAAAAAGCTATTTTCAGGCCACCCATGCAGCAAATCTTTTGAAAGTAAAGCATAGAGTGCTCTGGAGAGTCATTATCATCTATACAACATGGACCATTTTCCTTCAAAATTTTGCTTTTGTAAAAAATGATGGTTAATAGTGGTTAAAAAGCAAATGTCACTCCATCATCATTATCCAGGCACACCTTTCAGCATGTGCAGCAGTTTCCCTTTCTGTCTGTTTTCAAATGTTGTACAAACGGCCCAGCCTTTGTAACTACCCTGTCCTCTTTTTTCTCCTAGGCTTTCCCCTTGCATGAGATGTTTTGCAGTGACTGGTAGGCCTTCATCCATTATGGATGGTGTGTTTTAGGAGGATGATCCGTGCAGGATGATATAAATATCTCCTTTTGGTTCCCAGCAGGATGGGAAATGAAGCACAAGACAGGCTACTGTGTAGTGTTAGAGCAGGGAATCTTTATTATTTGATTTGATGTCCAAAGTAAAAAAAAAAAAGCAACGATGCACATGTGACTAGCAGACAGCTGTCTTTAATTCATGAGTTGTGGCAATTCCCTTGATGCCTCCACTTCAATGAGATAGTTTTACAAATCTGTAATGGCTCCTTCGGCAAATGTGTTGCAAAAAAGAGCAATTACTGCCAGCCACTACACTTCCATCCCTATTAAAATAATTGCAAAATATCACTGCTCCACAGTGATGGGTTTGACAGCTGCTTCGATGTAGCACAACTTTCTGATCCTGAACGAGTCTTTGCCCTTTGTGTCCTCGGTTACAGGCTGAACCACAGCGGGAGGCTGTATGTTAGCATACAAAAGCAGCATGAAGTAAAGCCTGACCAATATATGTGTGTGATGGTCAATTGAGAGAGAGAGAGAGAGAGAGAGAGAGAGAGAGAGAGAGAGAGAGAGAGAGAGAGAGAGAGAGGCCTCTCCCACTGTTTCCAGAGTCACTGTTATATTAGTCTGGCACTGTGGAGGAAGCCAGCCTACTGTTGAGAGCACGTACACACACATATAGTATCCAGTATCACTGTTGATACAATGGGGTAAGACAGACAAGGAATGAGATGTGCAGGTATGTTCATAACTCGAGGAATAATGTTTCCTTGATTATCAGAATCCCATGTTCTTAATTTAGCTCTATATTTCATAACCTTTTGGTAAAAAACTCTGGAGAGGATCTACGTGAGCAGAGCAGTGTGCGGCTATGAAGTCTATGGAACGGTGCCAAGCAGCAGCGAATCAGTTATGCTCAAGGCACACAGAAATAATTCATTGCAGTGCTCTGAAAGCAGTTGAGGCATGGGTGCAACACAGAACAGATTTCCTGTGTGGAGAGCTGGGTCCAGGTATTATTTCTGCTTGAATTTTAGGATACAGAAACTAGTTTGGGAACTCTGACTGTTCAATGAATGCAAATGTTCTGTGTGCAGTTCTAAATATGTCAGTTAAAATATTGAGAGCATGACATAGCAGCTTATCTACCATCCACTGACTGAAGTAGGGCTCGGTGGGAGATTACACAATAAAGACAAAACCTTGACTGTGCTGGAGACTAATACAAGGCAAACCCCCTGCATAAACACATCTATTGTTGATAAGATCAGTGCAATTCCATTTAATCTTTTACTTCCCTTTTTTTGTAGAAAATAAAGAGCTGCTCTTTCTGTTGTTTCCTTGGTGTCTAACGCCTCTCCTCTCTCTTTGCAGGAGCCTGCTGTAGAACCCACTGGGTCCTCTTGTGGCTTCCTGCCTGCTTGAAGGACCAAGAGGAGAGCTAAATGCACCCAAGTGATTCTGGAGAAGCAGAGAAGAGAGGCTAACTTCACACCTTCGTTCTTGCCTTATGAGAACGCTCACTGTGGACTCTCGTCTCAACTCACCCTGTACTGTTTAGTTACTGCCTGTAGCCAGCACTCTCAGGTGCAGAAAAAGAGTGAAACACAAAGGGGAAAGAAGAAAGAGTAAGCGATAAAGAGAGAGAGAGGCTGCATAATTAGTAATAACAAGTTTGTGTCAGAGCTAGAAACCATAAGAGGCTTCTGAAGACAAGCGTTCTCTGAAAAATACTGCGGCTTACCTTCAGGACATTTGTATGTGTGTGTGGGTATATGTGTGCACACCTCTTTCATTTTCAAAGGACTTGAATTTGTATTTGGATGCGGATTTAGCCTTTCATTATGACTCTGCGAGGAGGCTTTGAGAAAGCGTGGATTGGCTGCCACAGAAATGTCTGCTGCTGGGTGTTGCTGCTGGCTTGTTATTTCTTGATCGCCTTGGCAGCCAAACCCAAAATGCCAGGCCACACACACCTCAATTCAATACGCATTGATGGCGACATTTCCCTGGGTGGACTGTTCCCAGTGCATGCAAGGGGAAACGATGGCAAAGCTTGTGGAGAGCTCAAGAAGGAGAAAGGAATCCATAGGTTGGAGGCCATGTTATTTGCCCTGGATCGTATTAATAATGACAATGAGCTGCTGCCTAATATCACTCTGGGGGCACGTATCCTGGACACCTGCTCCCGGGACACCCATGCTCTGGAACAGTCGCTGACATTTGTTCAGGCACTGATTGAGAAAGATTCAACTGATGTCAAGTGTCTCAGCGGAGGGCCGCCCATCATCACTAAGCCTGAGAGAGTGGTGGGAGTGATTGGTGCATCTGCCAGCTCCGTGTCAATCATGGTAGCCAACATATTGCGTCTCTTCAAGGTCAGTTTCTCCCGCAGAATCTACTCCTTACTTTACTTTTCTTCAACATCTTTCTGATCATGGTTGCAGAGCACAGATATATCATAGAATTCCCCTGAGCATTATCCCAACATGTTTTTTGGAGATCAGACTTTCAGTTCAAAACAGTGTAAACAAAAGGCAAACTCTGAATGTTAATCTTACACCACACTGTAAACAAAGTTCACTTAATGGAATACACATGGACACACAAACACACACAAACACATAGTCAGTTTCATTTGACATTTCCCAGTTTGTGCTCTCATAGCCTTTCCTCTGACCTTTTTATTTTCCTCAGAAACTTGAATCACATTTATTTCAAACATTGTCCAGAAAACTAGGCGTGATCATTACACCATAATTCTCCTCACTAATGACACTAATTTGCCAAGAGTCCTTAGTGTTGCCTTCTTCTAATTAATTTGGGGAAGCCATGCATGGCACCATGAGCTCATTGCACTGCTACTGAATATAGTGCATAAAATGAGCTTCTGTGTTGTGTTGGCTCACAAGATGCAAATATGATGTGAAAATGAGAGCAAACCATAAACAATACATGACAGGACTTTTGTAGTACCTGCTCAGAGCTGTCAAACCAATCTACAGGCCACAACCAAACTAATGAGCGCAAGGACTGTGTCAAAACAGGTTGTCATTTTTTCATAATATCCCGATATTCATGCCAAACCTGCTGCAGTAGGAACACAGTGGTTATTTACTATAACCCTCACTCTATGAACACAGGTTGAATAGGTGAATACCTCTTATGGGCGCTTTAGAATTGACAAACGTGTTTTAAAGAATCAACTAACTAAAAATTTGCATGTATGTGCCCAGTCAATCAGTATGAATCAATTTAATACTATGGGGGCTCGGCATAAAGTATATAATGGCCTTACTGTCCTTTTTCCACCTCCATTTAGCTTTAAGCGACTAGTGAAGTGGCAGAGAACATGACAAGCGCTCCCATTCTTGTTCCGGTATTAAGAAATACAATATGTAGCTGTTCCATTCACAAAGGGTTCATCTTTTAAAAGGGCCCTACAGAAGATGAAGCCTGAATTATCAGCTGTGACACTGATTCAACAATGTGTCACCTGTCTGCCGCCATTCTGGAGCCTGCTAACTGCAGAGGGCAAAATGGTGAATAGTGAAATACCCCACTTCACAAGTCTGACTGAGATGTCACAAGTCAGCCAGAATAAAGGCTGCACACCTACATCCTTGCTGCTTTTTTAGAAAATGGTGGCTGAACTACCTGGTATAAGGCTGGTATCACTATCCAGCCATCACAAGCCCTCGTCTTCTACATCCACAAGTGCAGATCTGTCACACAAATTTCACCATCAGGTTATTTCTTATTATTCTTACAGCTGAGCAAAAAGGAGTTTGGTGACATATCTCACGCAGGTACCGTCTCATTGCCCAGCACTGTAGGAGCAAGTGGTAGTAACATAGGTTAGTCACTACACTGCCCCAGCAAAAGAAAGAAAAATAAACGACCCCATCCATATTACCTTTACCCCCCTGCAGAAGACACAGGTCGCAGCAGTCCACATACAGGCCTCATGACACCATGACCGCATGTTTCCAGAAAGGCCGAAAAATCTGGAATGACTGCCACACCTTATGCTATTGCACAACTCTCCATCGCCAAATGTTCTAACAAACGAGGCTGTTAATGCTGCCAGAGTCCTCATGGAGGGCACAGGAATCACCAGAGGAGGGCCTGTCCACTCACAGGCTTGTGAGATGTCTTCACACAGCTAATTGGCAAGCCACTGTTTGGGCAGGATTTTGCCAATAAGTTGTTGTGTGTTCCAAATAGTATGCCAAATCCTGCAGTGGGAACAAATCATTTAGTTTTTCCTTCTTTCTTCTCTAAAGGGCATTGAGCTGCTCCGTCCAAGACTCTTGGGAGTTTTGTGTGAGCATAGTGCTACTCAGATTCTGTGAAGATGGGCTGAAAGGGTGCACAAATAATTCAGCCACTGGGCTGAGGTCAGAGCAAGCAGGAATCCTTTTTTGATGGACAATGGTCTTGGAGGTATCAGCCCAGTGGGCTTGAACAGCCTGCTTGGAAGGCCCTTGAGCACGACGGACAAATCCCACTGAGGGACAGAGGAAACACAATATTTCAAGAGACGGTTAAAAACTCCTTCTTTCCCAAACCACTCCAAGAGATTCATGTATGTAGCTTTAGACACTTATATTTGGAATTGGCAAACAAGTCTCTAGCAGAAGTAACAGGAAACTCAAGACAGAGACCTATAGTAGGAAGTTATCTTGGATGATCATGCAAGCATTGAATGGCCCTGTACCACTGCTGGGTACAGGGGTACAATCCTAGAGTCTCCAGTCTCACCTTGACATGATACAAGCACTGAGAGGTATTGGGAGCAACCATTAGCGTGAGTGTATTCTGCATATCACAGCGCTGCTGCAGAATAACCATGAAGGAACAACCTCCTGTCTGACTCTCTGCATCGGCAGTGGGATCAAATGGAAGAGAGAAAAAGCATAGAACAAGCTTTTAGGGAATAGAATATTTGCATCCACCTCACTGGCTAACAGGGGGAAAAAAACTGAGTTTCACAATCATTTCAGCCTTAAAAAGTATCAGTGAAGGATGAAAACTTTGCTTTGGAACATAAACATGGCATGTCAGTACACCCACGATGAAACCCTGATGGTAAACAGGCATAGTGGTGCTACTTATATAGGACATATATAAAAAATCAAACATAGAAAACCCACAATTGTCCCAACATTACACTAAGGTTTCTCCAGTTTCTACAGCCTACGTAATACTGTGATAATGAATTGTACAACAGCAACAGTTTCTAAAGCTCAAGATGTTTGCAAAGATTTTTTGACAGTAAGTATTTGGACACCTCTAATTAGCTAAATGAACAGTGAATCTGTTCATACAGCTAAAATGCGACAGACAAATGCTTCATCAACCCTGTCTGGAAAACAGACGCCTTGCAGTGTCACTGTACTGAAAACATTGTATAACAGACAGAACAGGCCAAAGCGGGTTGCCCCTGGCTTGTCTTTTATCTTTTAAATTGTTTTTTTGTTCAGTACTAGTTCAGTTTTTATAATGTTACACAGCATTGGTAACAGTAGACAGCATTAATTGAAAAGAAAAAGCAAAAAGCGATCACAACACTGGCGGAAACATCATTCTTTAGGCATTTATTCCTGTAGTATTTTAAATAAACATTGTAGAGAACTGGAAAGCTTAAAAGCCTTTAATCAACTTATCTTCAGTTTTGCACTCGACAGGCGGAACATTTTTTTTATGAGTCACACTGATAGGGAAACAAGAAGCCATGAAAATGTGATTTGTATGGGGCCCAGATGTGGCCCCAGGTGAAAAGAATAATCCTGAGTTTAATATTTTTAATAGCATTAATACTGCACCGGGTCATGAGATGATATTGCATATGTATGAGGTAGACCCTGTACTTGTATTTCAATTTACTGTAGTGAACCAGGTGCACATCACTCCTTGATTCAGTTAATTTGTGCCTTTGTTCCTATAATTGTCTCTTCAGTATTTAATCATTGTGCGAATAAATGTAATAATGTAAACAAGTTGATAAAATGTTCCCACTGTGTTTAATTTAGCTCATCATCTCCTCTATTTCACCATCCTCTGTTTTACACAGCTGCTTTATTTTGGATTGCATTGTTCCATTTAGTATAATTACCCTGATATTTTGTTCAGGTGATTTTTAGATGAATGATACCTTTGAAGGAAAAGAATCAATTTGTCCATTACATTTTACTTTTGGTAAAATTTGTCCTTGAAATAGTTGTCACTATAAGCTTTAAATTTGGCCTTTGTGAACAAATACTATTTGAATTTCAGAGTGTAAAAGTCAGCAGGACCAATCAAAAACCGCTCTGCTGCAATTAAATGCAATCCTCTGTTCTTGCCGCAAGGATATTGACTAATAAGTAAAGCTAAGGTTGTACTCACATACGGCATGGCTCCGCAGGTTCCGGCTCTTTTCTCCATCATTAAAGTCACATAAAACCATAAGTTCACCACTTCCCTCTAATGACTTCAAAAGTCGGGCTTGGCTTCTTTCAACCTTTAAACCTAGTACTAGTATAAACCTATATTACTACTAATACTAGTATCGTCTGATCTGCTAGGTTGAAACTAAAGTCAAGATGATGAGGCTTTTTTTTGGGAATATAATATAGTTTTGTGGTATAGATAATACAGAACAATGATTAAAAGATCAATGTGCTGGTCAGTAGTTGCTTATGGCTTTAGGTCAGCTGGTTTCTTGTGGCTCCGTGTTTGTTTCAGTGTTCTTTTTTTTTTGAGTTGCTTTGTCTAATTGTCATGTTTATTTGATGATTTAATACAAGCATACAACCTTAACACAACATACTACCAATATACTTTTGGAACTGACATTGTTAATGTTGCTTGTCATCCTCAGGAGGCAAGAATTTGTTTCCTGACTGTAATTGGCTTCATGCTCTCAATTGTTTTTCAGCTCCTTACTTTTGGGCTTTTCCTTATCTTCCTCACAGTCTTAAAGTGGTAGAGGGCAAAGTGTTTACTCAGCACTTCAGAGCAGGCAGGATTCCGTCCCCATGGTGTGTCATGAATATTTTACTATATTGTTACGTAATTTACGCCCAGGGATTGGGGGGTTGAAAGCTCCCTCTCTGCATCCCCTCATCACAGGGTCCAGCGCTTGGTCTGTTCTCATCAGTTGGGTCTTTATACTGCTGTATAAGCAGGAGCACAGAACTTGAGGTAATTAGTGGTTGGTTGCTTATGATACTCAAGGCAGACTGAGTGTAATTAAAGCCCCAGGCTTTTGATTGTATCTTATACCTCATTGAAAACAGCTATACTGACAGGTTTGAACGATATTACTGCAGCAGTCAGAAACTGCAAGAGCATGCACTGTGTTTCAGGTATCGAAGTTGACTTGCTGAGACAA